TTTTCACCCAACAAATGCACAATTTTTTTTAAAAAAAGCTGAGAAGTCAAAAGACTTTAGGGTATTGCTGAAGGGCTTCAAGGTTGCAAAAGATGGGTCCATGGGAAGAATGCAACCTATGGTCTTCACTTTCCCTACGCTTGGTATAGAGCTTTAAGCTGAATCTGGAAACTTGTTGTTTTTTTTAATTCATTGCAACTGAGAAAATATATGTCTGAGAGGCAGAGAAAAATGAGAGTGATTTGGACTTTTGGACTCTTGCGGACATCCTGTAAGACCTGGGAGCTCCTCAGGCCAATAGATTAGTCTGAGAAAAAAAAAAGAGAAGAGAAAAAGCTCGCTTCTTCCCTCCCAAGGCCTTGACATTAACCATAATGTTTTGCAATGGCCAGGTTTTTGTCCCCATATTCACTACAGGACTGCCAGAAACCAAACACCTCCTGCTACCTTGTCTTGGTAGCTAACAATATCTTCATCAAATGGCCAACTTTAAAACCCAGCTCCAGTTACAATGATCAGCCAGTAATGTATGGATAAGAACTTCCTTTTAATGTCTGTACTGTCTAAATGCTTCTAATTACACTCCATTGTAAGTAGCAATAAACAGTATGAAACCAATAAAGTTTGTGTTGCCTTTCATTTATTGTTCACAATGATAAATCCACTGAATTAAGAGAAGGGTGAATCCATTTTTGTTAATAGCCTTGCATCCAAAGACTGGAAACAAAATGAAATATAATAATAGGCACAAAAATGCAATGTAGCTACAAAAAGGGCAATTTATACTTGCAATTTGTAAGGAAATTGCTTATTGGGGCTCAATTAATGGCATCCTAATTACAGTGCACACTTTGAATCCAAAAGTTTAAATGTTAGTTATGCATCAACAAAGTTACCCACTGCTTCTAAGCGTGACATCTAGATTTAATTTCTTGGCTCGAGTTAATATTTTTTTCTAATGAAGTTCTTTTGAATTACTTAAACAGTGACAATATAGGAGAAAGTATATAATTATGTCCAGAAATTGATATCTGTAATGGGCAACACATATTTTTGACAGTAACCAAGCTGCAGTGTTCCTTGTAATGGTTGGGGTTTTTTCTCATTTTGCTTCATTTACATGAGTTATTAAAAATAGGAATATGCGACACACTGTCATTTTCATCTTGCAGCTTAATTTTGGGCTTGATAGCTGCTCTCCTCAAAGTGTACCTGGCCTCTGTGATTCCAAATTAAAGCTGTCTGTACATAAGGAGATAAATCCTGACTCAATTCATACTTGCACGGTCTATGGGAAACCTTCAAAATTTGTTTTCTTGATGTAACTGAGTGATCATAGGATTTGTGGGGGAAGGTTTCCAATATAGAAGAAAGTTTATGATTTCTTGGCTATGGATTTTGTGTATTTCTATAAAACATCAAGTATTGGAAAGTGTGATAAAATTGTCTCATTGCATGGACTAATAACAGCAGTAACACTCGGTGGGATGTTGGTGCCTTTGTGATCATTTTGTATGTGTCACATATCTTCAAAGGGGAAAAGGCACTTTTGGTAGTAATAGAAATTGCACCGATTGGACCAGTGGTGTCAAACGTGTGGCCGTCCAGGTATTTTGGACTTCAGCTTCCAGAGTTCCTGGCCATTGGACAAGCTGGCTAGGCCTCCTGGGAGTTGGCATCTGAAACATCTGGAGGCAGTGAAGGGCCACACATTTTACACCTCTGGATAAAATTGTGGGGGGGGGGGGACAAGACAAAAACAATTGACATCTCAGTCTGGAGTTTGAGTCAGTCTGGATTTCTTGAACTAACTTTAAAATCTTTGAGGAGCTGTCTGGTCGTAACAAAAGAACAAGCCTAAAACCAAAACAATGGCACTTGACTTTGTACTCGTAACTTTACTGAGGAAAGTGCTGTTGCTGAAGATTGCTTAAGGAACTACAGTGTGGGAAGCAATCCCATTGCAACAATGAATCATTTGGAACATGTCCTGCCCTGAGTGACTAAGATGATCAAAGATCTAGAAACCAAACTTATAACGAATGACTTGAGGAGCTGGATATATTTTACTTAGTGAAGACTGAGAAGTGACATGATGGTCATCTTCAAGTACCTGAAGGGATGTCTTATAAAAGACAGAATGAGCTTAATTTATGCTGCTCCACAGACTAGAACATGAACCTATGGGACTTAAAGAAAAGAAGTTCCACCTACATATTACAAAATTTCCCTTTGCTGTAAGAGATGTTTGACAATAGAACAGACTGACTCAGTGTGTGGGGTCTCTCCTTTGGAGTTGGATGGGCATATTTCAAAAGTGTATGACAGGGAGTTGAACTAAATGGCCTTTGTAGTCCATTACAAATCTAAGATTCCGTGGTTTAATGATTTCTGTCAATTCTGTTACTTTGCCACCTTTAAGTTCCTTCAGAAAATTGTGAGCTGGGGCTTAAATACCACAAGAATTAGACTTACTTTGTAATTAGCCACGAATTCCCACACTGGGGAAGTTCATGTTCTGCACAATCAAGTTATGAGTATCAGCTGTGTCACTTATTCAGAAAGAGGCCAAGCAGCTGACAAATACACAGCTTATCCCTAGGTGAATTAGGTGGTATCTTGGGAAAAAACATCACTCTTATGAAGATATGGCCTTTATTTTACAATTCATCAAATCGTATGGGATTTGATCAAACTTTTTTAGCTGTTCTTGTTCAAAAATGTGAGATGCAGGATTCGCTTAAACAGCCATTAGTATGAAGACTGGGAATGGTAGTCTTTCAAATACAGTTGGAGTTTTCAGCTTTCCTTGAAATGTCCTATTTTCTCTGCAGGTTTATCCAGAAAGGAAAAAAAAGGTATCTGGGAGTATCAAGAAGTCCAACCCTTTTTGTTTTAATTGTATCTACATATTCATGGTTTTGCATCCAAATCATTTCTCAAAATATCCAGGGTTTTCATGCCTCCCACTCCCCCACAATTCATGACGCCATATATTGACTCAGACATTTCAGAAACTGACTTTTACTGATTTCTATGGGACTCTTTTAGATGATTATTCAGGACTTGTGTTCAAAATAGTAAAGGCCTTTAGCAACATTTCACTAGTTAAGCACTGGAATAGGTTTCTTTTATTGCTAGTACTGAAATACACATTAATTATAATCTCTGACTAAGGGCATTTCCAGACAACACTAAATCATGGGTTTTAAACAGGGGCAAAAAATCCCAGGACTACAGAAGAGGTCCACATACAAACCTGTTGGTCCTGGGATTTCTGCCTCCATAGTCCAGACTTGATGCTTGGTTGCGAGATTTAGAGGCTCCCAAGATGGTTGCCATGGGACTTCTGTCGGAAACTTCGGCAGTTGTTTTAAAAACAAACCCTCAAGATATGTGAATATGCGGAGAATCTCTGCAGCGAATCGGTGCAAAAGTTCCATTTTTCTTTGTCCTGGCTAGAGAAATTGTACCCTCCAGGTGTTTCATGAAGTATCTGCCACACAAGCAAGATTTATGTGGTAGGACCACTTCTTTCCAAGTCAGCACTGCACAATCAAACAGGAACATGCGCTTTCAAACTAAGAACAGAACATTTCATTACCAACACTTTTAAAAGCCTGGCTGCCTGGCCAGATTTGGTTGTGCACTTGTGGCATCAAACAACAGGGTGCTGTTCCTGGATTACACAGGATTGCTCCCTGATTGCTCTTCTTGTGAAAAGATGTACAACATTGACTAGGGGGGCACAGCATTTTTTGCATGTAAAATAAAATCAAGATAACCAAAAACAAAACAAAAAACTCTGATAACCAAAAACCAAAACACATATTAGACAACAGCAGATAATATGTAGATGTAAAGGCTTTAATTCCTGATTCCACTTTATTATTTTTACTATAATCTTCCCCCATCAACATAAATGCATTAACAAAGGAAACAAGTATAACAAAAAATGGCACCACAGTTCTGCTGAAATGTAACCCAGTGAAGATACTCGTTTGAAGAGAGACAATCAATTATCTCAATTGGTAGGATAGTGCAAGTTGCAGTCTCTTGAGTTTGCCTTAATTAGGAATCAAGAAAGCTTTGTCAACAGACATGCAAAACATAAAGCCTGCAAACTCAGCTCATCTTTTGCCTTTGAAGAAAGGAGCACAAGGCAAGGGCATGGCTTCCTTTCACAACCTTTTGATGAGGTAGGCTAAGACTTGGTAACTAGCCAAAGGTCTGCTATTGAATATGATAGCTGCTGGGTGATTCTTGCTCTCTCCAATCCATCCATACATTTTTATTGCAGATTATCCATGTTAAGATTGTTACATCAATCCATATTTTCTAAACTAATAATAAAATCATTGTAATTGGCAACTACAGTTAAGCCCTATATAGCAATACATGCGAAAAGGTGCAATAGATGATTTTTTTAAAAAATTGAAAACATTAGTTGCACTATAAATAAGAGTATGGTTTGGTACACAAAGAAACAAATCTTTGCAATAATGCAATCTGTCAGAGGTTTGCAAATGTCTGATACTGTGGACTAAAGCCAATATTAATCCTAATTAAAATAGATTCATTGAATCAATTGTTGAATGGGAAAACAGCACTTAGTAAATTCCATTGATTGTATGGGTCTACTTTAGTTAAACTAGAATTGGATTTAGGCTCTTTATCACCATTAATAATATTATTTGATTCAATTTCATGTTATTAATCAGAGTATAACAAGAACCCGGAAAACACAGAATCTGTAGTTTCATCGACCATCAAACCATTCTGAGAGGCATTCATAATCTGAAGCCAGATTTCATCATCTTCAGAAAGCTGGACCAACGTTGAGCCAGAAACTTGGCTAACATTCTGGGGGAACTGCCTTGCACTCGATCCCTGGAGAATGTTTTGACCATTGTGGAAAAGCCCAACCTTTACCGTCCCCCCAGAAACACTGAGCTGATAGTTGAAAACATAGAAGCCTCCAGCATTGGCAGTAAATATACCTGTTTCTTCTTGATAGCCTTCATTTTCATTCAGAAGAACATTCTCAAATATCACTGGGGTTCCTGGCAAAGGCAAGGGTCTCCTTTTCTGAAGAGCCACCGAAAAGGCTGTGGGTTCAACGGGTCTACAATCCCCCTTTTGCCCCTTTTCTCCTTTGCGACCTGGAAGTCCTGTTGGCCCCCACTGGCCAGGAGGTCCCACTTTTCCCTGGATCCCCTGATCCCCTTTTATACCAGGATCTCCTTGGAGTCCTACTGGACCTGGCTCCCCCTTTTGCCCGGGCAGACCTATTTCTCCTTTCTCTCCAAGGTCCCCTTTCAGTCCAGTGTCACCTTGTGCACCTTGTTCGCCTTGTTCTCCTTTTTCTCCCTTTGGTCCCTGAAGGCCTATGGGACCAGGGTTTCCAGCATCACCTTTTTCACCTCTTGGACAAGAGAGATTGTTACACCCACCAAGGTTTTCTGCCTGGCTTTGGAACACTGGCTCTCCGGGATTTTCTTTCATTCTGGGATTGTTTGAGACATCTAGAAGCAAAGAAAATGATATTTTAAAACAATACTACAATTAACATCCCAACCTATTTTAATCTATGGTGCTTACACTGAAATACCTACAAAGCTTTGGAACATCTCTCCCATTCAGACTGATTGTGTCTTAATATCCTAAGATAAGGGGATTTCCCAAGTACCTTAGAGTTATTATTGGTCAACAAAGGGAAGCAAACCTTTACAGCTGTGCAACATCAACAATGAGATACCAAAGCATACTCTGCAACTGTTCTGAAAGTCCTGATTAATCCTCTTTCATCCTTCTTTTTATCTGCCTTTAAAATGTTATAGTTTCTCTCTCCTCCTCCCATTTTTTCCCCTTTTATCCTCAGCTTACTTCAGTTGATGGAAACTGAGTTCAAATCCAAAAGTAGTTTGCACTCAGTTTAACCCAATGAAGGCGAGGGAGTGAGAAGATGGTGAACTATCATCCTTCCTAACAGGCTCAGACAAATGCAAATGAATGCAGTTTCTTCTAGTTTGTGTATTAATAACTTTTGCCATATGAACTATACCCTGTCAGTTGGTCACATGTATCATGGTTTTCATCTGTGAAATTCTGGATAATATGTTAAGGAGATGAGGCTGGCACCAACACTGCAATCATTTTGATGCCAGCTTGCCTTGATTGTTGACTCTTCTTTCAGTGGACTGAGAAATCTGCTATGGTTTAAATCTAAATCTAAAACAAGCTTTAATCCAAAAAGATTAATTCTAAATTCAGTTCAATAATGCCAACTTTGAGTGTTCCTTCAAAGTTGGCATTAAAACCTGACAAAGATTCTCTGCTCCACTGATACAGTCTTCCCAGTTAGCGTCAGCTACTGCACTCAGGAAGAGCAGAAGGGTAAAATCCTGTCACCAGTATTGCCGCAAGTGCCAGTTTGATCACCTTCTCAACAAAGAGGGAGAAATAGCATTTTGTCCTTTGCCTCAGGCAGCAAATATCTTAGATCAGGCTCAAACAAGGTGCTACTACTGTTCCAACTAAATTCTCCCTCCACGAGCTGCTATTTTCATAGACTCATAGAAACATAGAGTTCCAACAAGGGCCATCCAACCCAAGCCACTACCATGCAGAAATCAAAAGACAGATGGTCATCTAGACTTTAATTTAAAATCTCCAAAGGTGAGGTGGCATATTCCACTGTTGAATAGATCTTAGTAGAAAGAGGTTCTTCCTAATGTATAAGTGGAATCTCTTATCCTATAGCCGGTACCCATAGTTCTGTGTCCTTGTCTCAGATCAGCAGAAAGCACTCTTACACCATCTTCCATATGACATCCTTTCAAATATTTAAACATGGCTATCATGTTCCCTCCTAACTCTTGCAGCAGCTCCACTGCCTACTAGTTTGCTTCTGGGCACAATTCATGGTGTTGGTTTTAACCTTTCAAGCCCTTAATGGTTCAGGCCTAACCTATCTACCCAACCGCATCTCCCAATATGAGTCTGCCTGAGAACTACGTTCTGCTGGAGAGGTCCTACTCTTGGTCCCACCCCTCTCTCTTGGAAACAAGAGAGAGGGACTTCTCAGTGGTGGCTCCTTGGCTTTCAAACCTTTTGCCATTTTGATCAGTCTCTCTGGAAACATACCAACTTGTCATATCCTTCTTGAATTGTGGTGCCCGCCAAGGACTGGACATAGTATTCCAGATGAGATCTGACCATAAGAAAATTGAGTGCTACTATCTTTGAGGTGTCAATGGGGTTAAATGTCATGCCTGCAATACTTTTAGTGCTATACCAAATGACATAGGATTGAATCCCAAAATAAAACTGCACAAGCAAAGGGCTCTGGTGAAGAAGGGTTGCTATTCCCCACTCTCACTCCACATCCTGCCCTTGAAAACTAGCTTTGGAGAACCAGGAATATCTGCACAATGGATCACAAGAAAAAAATATGGAGGCACTCACTAGTTCCTCTTTGTCAAAGCACCTTGACTGACTGAGAAGGAACATGGGACCCAACTCTATGATGGCACACCCTTGTGGCAACCATCTTCCATTGTGGAGAGTGCAACACCATAAGATATTTTTGAACTACATTTCAAAACTACATAATGTGCCATGATGATATATAAACTTCACTCTATTTCTGAAAGGTCCACTGATCTCTGATATCTAACAATTTCTACCTGACCATTGCTATTTTCATTTTTGCTCTGAATAATCGATCTAATACCTGGAAGATACCAAACAAAATATGCATTCTCAAACCTTAGTATTAAACATATGCATGAAAAGATGGCATGAGCACTGCGACAACTATCATCATCCTTCGGGTCAGTGACTATAGCCATAGGAGTCCCTAAGATCATATTTAAAGAATCATTAAAATGTGCTTATTTACATGAGGCTCTTGTGAGGCTTTAAATGAGCCCTTGCAGTTCATTGTAGTGAATTATACACCCCTCTAGAAAGGATTGTGGTTTTCTTAATTACAGCACAGGAGGTGCCTAACATTTATATTCCACACTGAATTAAGCATCGTTGGAGCCTGTGAAAAGCCAAAACATGAATCCTCAAGCACTTTCACAAAAGACTTAACCACTGTTGTGCTATTTATGTTAGCAGTCGGACCACAATCCAGCTGTGAACACCATAATCATCAATTAATCATACTTGTTTTAGTCACTTAATCTATTGGTTACATTTGCATAGAATTATTTATGAGTAAAAATAAAGTAATACGTTTTGGTGCATACGTATGGTACCATTCATCTTAGAACAGTGGCAACTATTTTCTGGGTTTAAGAAGCTATACTGGGTCCCCAATCCCATTGAGAGTACAATACTGTCATCCCATTGCAGTATACTAGGTTCAACAACCACTTTTGAAGCTTTCACCACACTCTGACCAGGTCTACACAGCCAAAATGTAGTGGACTCAGTCAGCACTCCGCTGCTGTGGGGAGTCCACACGACACATGGCTGGATTAGCAGCAGAATTGCTGCATCCAGCCATTAACACAGGTTAATAGAATGTCAGATTTACTCCAGAGCTTCCAGAAAGATCTAAAGAATCTCAGAGTTTTGGTGGTGTCAACTATGTTCCTCTGGCAAACAGTTCTCTGACAGAGGCTTCCTGGCAGCTTTGTATTTATGCTGGGTGCCCAGCAATGTGACCAAAAATGCAATATCACCAGCAAACCTCTGCCTCTGCTTGCTGGCAGCAACACAATGGTAGTAGCCTGACATACCTTTAGCCCAAACATGTGGACAACCAAAAGGTTCCAGGGACACTCCCAGCCTTTCTTGGAGCAGCTCCAAAGCACTTTGCAGTGGATTAATCCAGCAGCTGTTGACCCAATCTCTATCAGATATTGGCACAATGTAGGGAAGAGCAACTATGGTGGTGAGTATGGTGTGAGTTCCAACATGGTAGTGGTTTCTGTGTTAAACTAGGACACTAGTGTTTGAATCCCTGCTCAGTTCTGGAAGCCCATTGAGTGTCCTTGGGGATGTCACATTCTTTCAGTCTAATCAATGGCAAATCTCCTCAGAACAATTATTGAAGGAAAACCAGATGATAATCATGGAGTCATGGAATAATAGAGTTGGCAGAGACCACATGGGCCATCCAGTCCAATCCCCTGCCATGCAGGAAAAGAACTTTACAGTCACCATGAGCCAGAAATAAGTTAAACATCAACCAAAAGAAATCTTTCTCTGAAATAGAAGTTAACACTTAATTAAGTAAATGCTACATCTTCAGTTCATTGTGTAAAAGGAAAGGAAGATCAAGTATGACCTCTGTATTCACAGAGGATATGTTCCCGGGCTTCATGTGGATTTGTAAAACCATGGATAATAATCAACCTTATTGAAATGAAGCACTCATGTCTCCAAAATACCATAGCATCATATTGAAAGACCTAAAATTTATCTAAAGATTGCATATTGTGTTGGAATGAATAAATTCAGCAGTGGAACTCTCTGCCCCGGAGTGTGGTGGTGGCTCCTTCTTTGGAAGCTTTTAAGCAGAGGCTGGATGGCCATTTGTCAGGGGTGATTTGAATGCAATATTCCTGCTTCTTGGCAGAATGGGGTTGGACTGGATGGCCCATGAGGTCTCTTCCAACTCTTTGATTCTATGATTTTATGATTCTATGAAATGAAACTGTGGATACTGATGAGGTGAATACGGGGGTCCAGATGGATGGATTCAATCAAGGAAGCCATGTCCCTGAATTTGCAAGACCTGAGCAGAGTTTTGATGATAAAGGGATTTGGAGGTCTCTCATTCATAGGGTTACATAAGTCAAAGTTGAATTGACAGCAACAACGATCAGTGTACTTGGAGCACTACCAGGCATAGCCAAGGCTCCTTTAGCTGCACCTTTGTAAAGAACAAAGGGTAGTGGTTGACAAGGCTTTTCAGGAAAGTTTTGGTCCTTATTATTCAAAACCCTGCTGAACTTCCAATGAACCTGTAGTTTTCCACAAACACAGTATGAAAATCATCTATCTACTTCATTTACCTCACACTAATGTTACATCGGGGCAGGTCATAATATATTGTTTGTGGCAAGTACAGTATGGTTCATTAGAATGCTTGGGCTAGTTATAAAGTTGCAAATATATATGCTGCCATAAATACCAAATACTACCAGACTCTGAGACCCAGTGTGTAATGCTGTAGGCCAGCCATTTGATGCAACAGCTGGGCTCAACAGGGCAACAACAAATCTCAGCTTCACTGGTTCTGCATACTGGCGACATGCACAGCCACCGGGGACACAATTTGCCCATTTACCGCCACTGGGTATCTTTTTACTTCATTGCACAGAGAATGTGGATTTGGGGGATTTTCAGTATGATACTGATCTGGTTGTTTTTAATTAGGAAATAAATGAATGGTATTCATTAAAAAAGATTTCCAGCTACCCAAAGGCATTAAGTGATAAAATTACCAACATTTTTTTCCACCTTTTGTCCTTCAGATTCTGGAATTTTACAGAACCACTTGGTA